CCCTTTTATTTTTCATTTTTGGAAAAATCCCGAGGCGACCGGCGAGAAGATTCTCGTGGTGAATTTTGAAATGGCGATAAGACTGTCGAGAATTTTGAAAAAAAAGGGAATAACATTGTTAGATAATTGAAAATGAATGGTGGAGGAAAGTGTCATCGCCGGTCACTTCGATGATTTTGACCTCGACGTCTCGAAGAGTCGCGGCGACTTGGATTGTGAAAAAAAAATTCATATTCTCACGCACACACACTATGCACAATTCTCCCCCCCCTCTCTCTCTCTCTTTTTCTCTCTCTCTCTCTCTCTCTCTCTCTCTCTCTCTCTCATACTATATATCTATACATTCTGATCGTTCCTCTCGAATCTTTACGCGTCGTTTCTCCCTCAACGTGGTTACTTGATCTCACTGTGACTCGTGATCATTTCGAAATCTGATTTTTCGAAATTTCACCCCTTTTTCTTTTGTATATATTTTTAATAAGCGATCGAAGTGTGTGTGCGCGCGTGCGTGATAGCGGATGTTGATAACCGATTAGAATCTGAGTGGAATCGATTGCAATTGGATGAGACACGACGCTAGGCGGTTGCATGAGATACGATCGGATTGTAAATTGGATTTGAGGATTTGGAGTGCGCGACAGATTCTCCATATACCGTCTGTTAATCAGTTGTCATCGTGTGATTAGGTCCGTCTGTCCTGTCACCTTGAAAAGAGTGACCGTGTAACGGCGTATATAGGAAAATTACGTAACTGGCAAAAAGGAGGATGGATAAGTGAAACGAATTATAGATAAGGAAGAGAAGGTGGGAGACGAGGTGTGACTTACAATTACGAATGATAATGCGAAATGATTGCCCTAAAACCTAAAGGATGTACATGTTTCAAATAAACCCACGTATTTCTACGAAAAAAAAAAAAAAATATGGAGATTAAAAAAAAATTATGTTAATATCAATTATCATTATTATACATTATAGATCACTCTTACTGGACCATTAACCAATCACCATGGTTCGCAGCATCCTTTCGCGTATCCTTAAACAATCTTTTTCTCTTATAAAATATCCTATTTCTACTTTTTTTTTTCTTCCTGTACTCGACTTTTCACTTTCCCTCGATCTAAAAATTCACAAGTAATACTTGTTACCTACGTATGGTACGTAAAGACCGTGTCTTTGAGTAAATAGTAATTAAGAACTGGGGAGAGGGTTATTGTCACGAGGTAATTGATGGTGGTATTAACCCCTGGGGTTCACTGTCTTCCTCTCTGTTACTGTACAGAGAAAAGTTATTTCGAACGTACTCTTATTTTACACCGTTCGCTTCAGTTAACTTAACTGATTACATAAATTTCTCCATCCTCTATTCTTTTTTTTCCAAGAATTTTTCAGGTCTTTTTATTTCTTATACATTTTTTTAATGACTTCAATCGATCGTCATACCATTCGTCAATTTTTTTTCGAACTGGACCAATCTACCGTAGATTATTCGACATGATAAATGATACATAGGTATACTCTAGGTAGATACACCCAGAGGCACTACAAAGCTGTGTATCTCGCCAATATTTGACTAAATCATGAACAATGTTTGATTGTACACAGTGGCACACAATATAGAAATAGGGTACAGGTATAGACTCGTACAATGGTCTTGATAAAGAGAGACAGTATACGTTTGATACGGGAGAAGGTGCTGGGGGACGAAGATGAATGATACAGAGATGAAATTGAAGAAGAGTCTGTGAAAAGAAGAGAGAGAGCGAGCTAGTAAACAAGCGTAAAAGCGATGACAGTATACGTAGCTAAAAGCAAAAGGGATCTCTAAAGCACAGACCTAGATAGAGTAAATGAGAAAGAAAATTGTCATATATATTATGTGAGACTGACACGAGACCGATGATAACGATATAGAGTAATCCATATGTGTATCGGCTTACCTATCTACTAATCGTTATAAAGGATCATTTTTGACAAGCTTCCTATAAATAAAATCAATACAGGTTGATATCAGAGTGGAGAATATACTATATCGCGCATGTGTTATGTCACGTACACAGATACATCTAATATCGCGACTTTATACACGAGGAACGTACATATGATTAATCATCTGTATTTGTTATTTTAGAATCTATTAGCTCAGTATATTTTGGAGTATAGAATTTAGATTATGACAATTTTTTGTTTTCATAGATTTTAGATAGGAGAGATTCGATCATTGGATCAATACAGGAGTCAGATAGGTAATATATATATATAGGTATTAGAAAACGTGACTAATAAGTCGATAGAGAAAATTGTATAAAAATGACTATTGATATGATATATATGTATATACGGAAGAGGGTAAAGATACTAGACGATGAAACGTGACTTTAATTGTGTGCGAGGAGAAATGAAAATTTTCATAAACGGATTAGTCTGGCGGTTACGTAATGTATTTGTATATATTTCATCAGTACATAATTCTGCTATTGACTACTGCAGGATATATGAATGCAATGAAATTCAAATTCTGGTCGAATCGAATGCAAGGACTTTGCCGACGGCAAACTTTGACAAGTTGGGTTAGGATAATTCCTTCGTGTCCATCCTGCTCGTCGCACATCTCAGGTTGACTCTCTGTAAAATTCTTAGCGTCGCAAATCTCTTCAAGACACTCGACAACCTTTTATTCTAGCAAGTTTTTCGAGTTGACATGGCGTCTTAACGAGAGCTTACAAGTCGTCAGTGTTTTTCTAGCATTTCGGTGCAAACCTACGAGAAGACGGTCGCAGGCTTTAAAAAAAGCTCATCCAAGTCAAAGCACAAAGTGACACAGAGACCTTGCGAGTCTAAGATCCTGTCATAAGAAATACCGTTCGAAGCAGCCAAAGACGTTGAACGCGTCAGTGCACGAAAACACAACGCGAGGCGTCGGTTACGACGAACGATATCGGTCGAGTCTTTCTTTTAAAACGTATAGAAACTTTTATTAAGAATATCCCAGTGTTACCTCCTCGTAGTATCCCTTTAGTAGTCCCTAGCAGACTTTTACTAGTTTTCTCATACTTTTTCCCCTTCTTATCCATTTTCGTGGAAGGTTTCATGCCCGAGGGCGCTCGTTGCCATCGTTACCAGTTGAGTATCAGCTCGCTTTCTGGTTGGCGGAGAACGAGCACGATCATTGCCCGAGTCTCCCTGCGTGTCAGTCCCTACGCTAGTGGATAGGTATATGTATGTATGGCTACGGAGTATAGCTAGAAAGTAGTACAGGGGTATGGGGTACGGAGTATGGAGTACGGAGGGCTGTCGGAACAGCAGCGCACTAGGCGGCGGCGCACGTCGTAACTACAGCGGAGCGGGGTTCGGAGGGAAGAGTACGTTAAAGTATGTCGCGTGTGTCGCATGTCGCATGGCTGAGAGTAACGTCGGAGAAAAGAGTGGTGGTGCAGAGTTTGGTAGACGAGGAGAAAGACAAGGATAGGTGAAAGGAATAAGGAAGAGAGAGAAAGAGTGAGTGAGTGAAGAGATCTAACGGTGGGTTGGTCGCGCCCAGGGAGGGGTCAGGGGTCAGGGGTCAGGGAGGTGGCTGCCTAGGAGGAGGTGGATGAGGACGAGGAGGAGGAGGCCCCGAGGTATTGACGCGCCTCGAGGAGAGAGAAGCCACTCAGCACGCAGGCTCAACATGGCCGACTCTCACACCCACACTCTATACTCATACGTTAACGGGAGCGTGTCGCCTATCCTCGACGTTCTCCAGGAGATGAGCTGGTGTGGCTCTGGTATATGTGTCTGGGAATGGCTACGTGTTAGATTGCGTCGAGGAGTACGCCGAGGAAAATGAAATATCGTGAGGAAGTTGCTTGGCCGTGGGCTATGCGCTGATACGTTATATTCTACACGTCGCTGCCATGAAGGTTCGCCTAGTTACTTGGCATTCGACTATTTCTTGGACGGACGTGACGTAGTACCGACGGAGACAGACGTACATAATATTGACAAGAGAGGGAATTATTCAATTCTATATAACGCATTATATGACTGTATACATTATTTACGCAATTTGACAGATGAAAATTAAAGAAAATTTTCACTAAAATTTTTTTCTCAAAAACATACATTTTACGTCAAATCGTAATACCTACCTCATGTGGCATCCGATTAAGGCTTTTTACCCGGGATTCTTTTGTATGTAATAAACGAGTCTTATTAACTCGAATAATGAAAAGGGCTTTAAAGATCGCGGCAAATCCCTTAGGTCTGTAGTCAGACGAGAATAACACCTGTCAGCCTCGGTTAGAAAATGGCGAGGTTGATAATCCCAATGTCAGTGTTTCGGATAAATAGACTGACAATAAAGTCCATACGTATGTATCTATACAAAGACCAACCACGTATACAGTATAATTATACATATCTACGCGTGACTGTGTATACGTGAAAAATCGTGTTAATTCATTGGCCGTAAAAAGCAGGGCGAGGGCTGGTACGGTTTAGTTTGATTCGGCATGGAGCGCGATCAGGTGTGACGGATCAGACGGGTTTGGCACATGTTCCTTTTCTCGCAAGTCGATCCTAGCGCCACATCCCCGTCAGCCTGGACGGATCTGATCCACCCCAGTGTGCCTAATTATTCACAATTATTATCCTAATAGGATCAGTCTCCAGTCTAAACGTCTGACAGGATCATTCCCAGGCCAATGACGACTCTCCCATTTAAGATCTACCCAAATCCCATGCATTAGATTCAATATCAAAGCATAGAAATTGAATTGGTCAATTTTATTTGAAGGCATCGTAACGCTGCTTCGTGCCATGGGATTGATCATTAAAGTGGCCAGGTTATCCAGACTGACCAGAACTCTGGTCAA